AAGAACATAAGAAGAGCCCTGCTGGATCAGACCAGTGGTTCATCTAGTCCAGCATCCTATCTCACACAGTGGCCAGCCAGTTCCTCTGGAGGGCCAACAACAGGGCATAGAGGCCGACGCCTTCCTCTGATGTTAAGAACATAAGAAGAGCCCTGCTGGATCAGACCAGTGGTCCATCTAGTCCAGCATCCCATCTCACATGGTAGCCAAACAGTTCTTGTGGACAGCCAACAACAGGGCAGCGAGGCCGAGGCCTTCCCCGATGCTGCCTCCTGGCTCTGGGATTCAGAGGATTAGTGCCTCTGAACGTGGAGGCTCCCCTCAGTCACCATTGCTAGTCGCCACTGACAGACTTATCCTCTATGAATCTGTCTAATCTTCATTTAAAGCTATTTATTCCTGTAGCCATCACTGCATCCTATGTCGGCAAATTCCATATTTTAATCACTCTCTGTGTAAAGTAGTATTTCCTTTTTCTTCTGAATCAATCAAATGCAGTCTTAAAAAAAACCAGCTACCTCCTAAGGCAGGGGTGTCAAACATGTGACCCGGGGGCCAGATGAGCCCCCTGGAGGGCTCCTATCAGGCCCGCAGTGGAACCGGCTGTCTTCTGCTTCTTCTTCCAGTTCTGCGGCTGCTGCGTCATTGTAGGATTGCAGCTTACCGATACACACCTGAACAGCATACTCAAGATTGCAACAGCACAGACACTTTGATGCAATAATTCAGAGCAAGAGGTGTCAGTTATCAGACACTGTTAAATAAACAAAATATTGCAAGAGCCCTAATGTTTTAAGCATGTTTTTATTTTAAGTAAAAAAAAACCTTTGTGTTTGTGTCCTTTATAAAGTTTATATCTCCGCTACCTGGTATTACATTTTATGACACACATGGCCCTGCCCAACAAGGTCTCATTTATGTCAGATCCGGCCCTCATAACAAATGAGTTTGACACCCCTGTCTTAAGGATTGAAAAGAGCAAGAGTCCAGGAGCACCTTAAATACTAACAAAAATTGTGGCAGGGGATGAGCTTTTGTGAGTGAGCAGATATCTGAAGAAGTGAGCGGTGACTCATGAAAGCTCTTTAAGGTGCTACTGGACTCTTGCTCTTTTCTATTGCTACAGACAGACTAAGACAGCTACCCATCTTGATCTAAAGACTGAAAGCGAGGGGGCCAGGTGCACCTCCTTGGGGAGATTATTCTATAACTGTGGGGCTGTCACAATGATGGAAGAGCTTCCCCAAGACTCCTGGGGGGGTTGTTGGGGGGTGCTGCAACCCACCAGCGCAGCTCCCTTCTGGAAGCCATGACAGACCTCACAAAAAGAGAAGCACTCAAACCTTTGAGATGTACTACAACATTGTGACCAATTTGGACAAGTGTGGTTTCCAAGCAGGCAAAAGATGCATTTTGGACAGTGCGTCTCAGTTGGTTCTTCTTTCTCTTTTTCCAGGGTGAAGTGGACTAGGGGACTGTGAGCACCCGTGTAGCCCCTGGTTTTTCAAAAGCTTCCAGTCCCACTTCCTTTGAGCCCAGTCAGCTGAAATGGACTAATTCTGGCCCAGAGAGGGGAGCATCTTGCCCCTCACTGCTTGGATGCAGGAAGGGACTGAGGCTTTCTTAATATATGGCTGGAGTTGGACTGAGATTGTCTGTGACAGGAGGAAATGTCCTTAGAGCAGGGGGCAGTAGCAACCGTGGGTCTCCTCTTTGAGTCTCTGGAAGATGAGGGGATCAGAATAGCCGGAAAGACCCTGCATTTGGCTCAGGATGGGACGACCAGCGAGTTTGTAAGCTGGGTCCCTTCAGAGCAGGGGAGCCAGGAGGCAGAGGAGGGATTGGCCCAGACCTGGGAAGTCCAATGGCAGGAGTTCCTGAAATCAGTTCACACCCCTCATTGCAGGAACCCGGAGTCACCAAAAACCATGCGGTGGGAAGTAACCAGGTCCTCTCTGGTTCCTTCAGAATTGGGGGCTGGTCCCAGCAGCTGGTCTGGAAGAGAAGGGACCCTCGGCCTTTCTCCAGGCC